TATATATATATATATATATATATATATATATATATATATATATATATATATATATATATATATACAGGGTATCTCAGACCTCCATGATGACCCTTTGTGAGAACGTAGAACGAATTGAGGTGAGCAAAAGTCCTGTGTCGTTTTGCGATATTTGCAATAGTTCTCGAGAAATTAATTATTTTGTCTCAGCTAATAAGAGCAGAGAAAGCGGCAGTTGAAAGAAAGATGTCTTCGGCCGGTGTGCGACTGTGATACACGCAAATCGCGACTCGCTGCATCCCTCCGCCCATAGCTACGAAACACATGTTATATCCGTGTGCCGAATCAACGCCGAATCTAAGAGTGTGTTGCCGCTTCGTTGTTTCATCTCTATATACATGTATGCAGCCGAACCAACGTCACGTTTCGATTCGGCACACGGATATGTCATGCACATGGTTAGTGTATCAAACCTCGCTGTGTCTTGTAGCTATGGGCGGAGGGATGCAGCGAGTCGCAGTTCGCGTGTATCACGGTCGCGCCGAAGACATCTTTTTCTTTCGGCTGCCGCTTCCTCTGCTCTTATTAGCTGAGACAAAATAATTAATTTCTCGAGAACTATTGCGAATGTTGCAAAACGACACAGAACTTTCTTGCTTCAATCTATTCTACGTTCTCACAAAGGGTCATCATAAAGGCCTGAGACATCCTGTATATATACACACGTGCTATCTATTACGAATTATATTATTATCGTGTATCTAGTTACGAGTCTCTTCGTTAAAGGTTTTATATAGTTTGCGTCGGTTAAAATTTGAATCTTTTTATTTGAATCTTCTTATTTTCGAACACATCCAAGAGGTTCGATGCCACTGACGTTATCATTATTGTCGTCAATTCGAAAACAAAATTCGCTTCATATTTGATTGATCGGAATGTTGCCTTCTTGAACGTCTCTCGATAGTATGTACGGTGCGTCGTGTGTAATTGTACTTTAATCCCAAACATGGTAACTTGTACATGTCCTAGAAAGAAGAGAAACCACCCAAGAGTGCGACATCTCAGGCATGTTTCTTCTGCCTTTCCTCTCTCTCTCTCTCTCTCTCTCTCTCTCTCTCTCTCTCTCTCTCCCCCCCCCTTCCTCCACTCTCCTTTCTCTGGATGTATTCTTCCATTTCTCATTGTGTGCCTTTCTGTACCGACCGAATATCAAGGGACAAAGCATATTTAAGCGAATGTGGACAGTCCGGTGTACCATGTACGCCGATGGAGCGCAAACGGGCACGTGCGTCAAGCTCAAACGTTACATTTTATATCCAGGAAACACATTTAAGAAATATAGTATGTGAATAGAGATATATCCCCCGGAGCATTTGCCCGGTGCTGTACGAGAATGTGCTAAAAAAAAAATAATCCCGACAATGTCTCGGATTCGTATTCACGCTCCTGTTTCGATGTCGCGTTTTTAGCACGGAATACGGCTGCTCGCGACACTCTAATTCTCTCGTTCGTCCAATGTGAGAATACGCTCTTGAAATAAGATGAGAATAAGAAAGCGACGTTAATACGCTCGCAAGTGTGAGCATAGGCCTCTTGTCAAGTGTAGCGTTATGTACGTGTGTTGTTGTTGTTGTTGCTGCCAGAAAAGACCGAGATTAATACAAAAAGGGACATGCAACGCGCTTTGATACGTGTTCACCTGCAATTCACCGTTCACGCATGTCCTGATACTACAAATTGACTCGATGCTTCTTTCTTTATCTTCGTATGGAGGTCCGAAATTCTCCGTTCCTTTACATGAATATATTTTATAAGGTTGACACAATAATAATCAAATTTTAGTTGTACGGAAACCTCCGGAAAATCGATATCTCTATTTTTTATTCGACTCTTGGCGAACATACATACATACGTATACATGTGAGAAGTTTACACTAGAGAAATGTTTGGATAGCGTCTTTGTTAAATTACCGACGGTTCCACATGGAATCGCCAAGGATTTTACAATTGTCCAACTGGTCGCTTTCATTGTAACATTATACGTTGAATACGATGATTATATAATTGTTTATAACGAACACGCGAAAATACTAATTAAACGCACACTAACCACTATTACGATTTCGATACGATTCTCAAAGATAAGTTTACCGCCGCAATTAATAATGTTTCTATCTTTTGGGAGTAAGAACGGTGATCGATGTTTCACATCGGTGGTTGTTTAAAATTTATCGCTATAAATTACTTTTGGAATATCGATTCCATGCCGTCCCCTCCTCAGCGTAAAAAACTCGTCCGTGCAACCGCATATACGTAATTATATAAATTATACTTTCCGAGTAGTGCCGTAAAACGGGTCGTTGTAACTCATGTCGTGTACCGCAGGCAAGTTAGATTCTACTTCACAGAGATATCAAAAGTTTCACAATGGCGATAAGCGAGCGGATCGAACAAACAAAGCACTGTTGATCCTTCCTGGATGCGTAAGAAGACATATCATTTCTTCATTGCATTAGAAAGCGCCTCGCGTTTGCATTCTATCTGTCGCTCTACGGTGATGGATATAGCAGTATGGGGATGGCAGTAGAGAAACGTGGGAAAAGGAAAAGAAAGGAGAAAGGAAGAAGAAGGAAAAAACAGTAAAGACAGCTCACTTGAAATTAGCTTAAGCTTATATCAACAAACTGTGAAGAGGAACGTGCAACCAACAAAAAGCAGCATTGTTAATTGCGACATTTTACGAGTTTTGCAGAACTGCAGTAATGTTCCAATATGTGCTAATCAAAATGATTCATTACTTAATTGATAATAAATCATTCATTACTTTTGAAATCGGAACATTAGTCTCACTTTACTTTAGTAATCTCAAGATTTGATATCTTTGCATACCGAAGAAGAAAACAGTTGAATTAATAAATTCGACGGTTCGACCATCTTCAAAGAAATGTGTCTATTGAACCAATTGATATAATTCATCATATCAACTATTCATTCAATTGACTAAACATTTGCTTGAACGAATTTTGTTCGTTCAAGCAAAGTGTCTCATGAATTCAAACATTTTTATTTTATTCTCAGTGCACAATAAAATGTTGTGAAATAATCGAACGATAAATCGAATACAATTTTACTGTTAGTATTTTGTCGCCTCTTTCACTCTTACAACAGTTGATGCCATAGAATTGTGATTGTCTACGTTTGAAACCTGATTTTGAAGATAAGCCCACTATATTAAGATTGTCATGGTTAATCAACGACAGATAACAACAGAAAGATGCATCAACTACAGCAACACCAGGCCCATCTAGCGTCACGTTCCTCACAATAGTTTTAGATTAAAATAGTATAATTTTTCGTATACGTACACATACTTAAGCACACTTAAGTGCTTAAGTGACTTTTGTATTAATCGCTGCGAGAAAGGTGGTCGATTTCTGGATAGTCTGAGCTAAAATGAACTTTTTTGCTTTTTGTTTAAAATAAATTTATACTTGTTCTATATGTGTGTATGTGCACCCACACACACACAAACTATATATATATATATATATATATATATATATATTACGTGTATACATATGATAGAATTTTATCTTTGAATCGTTCCTCTTTTCGTTTTGAGAGACAACAAACAAAAGTGCTCCATTTTTGCGTTGTATCTGTCTCATGTCTGTAGTAATCTGTTGCGATGACAGCGGAAGCGGCTTGTCGCCTTCTAGGGACAAACGTTCGAGAAATCGATCATTAAACAATACCAAAAGTAATCGTTCCATATTAGCGAGTCCGCGCGGATTGTTTTTAAATGTAACTTTAAGTTTATGTATATGTGTAAATATGGGAAGGACATGTATATTATATTTATACAGTGCGTGAAAAGACATTCAGCCCACTGGCACGCAAACTTTTCACCTCCAGCGTATTGCGAATTGCGTAGAATGAATTGACTATGTAGTCATTTGATATTTATTCTAGAAAAGATTACACAAGAACATATTATAATCAGCAGATCTGCGAATTCTCATGTTTCCTCTTTCTCTGTTTCGACAAAATTAACACGTTTCTGTAAATTTTTACAAATAAATATGTCTTAATCGGCGCGCACTTGCTTCTTGAAAGACACGCTCCGTACTCGCATTGTATGAATGACAGCGAGAGGGCTCATCGATAAAAATCTTTTACTCACAATATCCATTCGTGCAAACATGTGCGAATCGTGTAAAAGAAAAGAACTTGTCATTGCCTCAGATTTTTGAAATGTGAAGGTAAGAAGAAAAGAAAATACGGCAATACTTGGCCCGTCACGGTCGTGAATGTTATGTGCGATGTTTTTCTTGTTAGATATAGTTACCAAAACAACGCATATTGCGATGCCATCACGCGATTGATATCAATCTTACAAAGCGAATCTTACTCGCGATTCGCAATCCTTTAAACGATAATCATATCAAGTGACCTGACGATAAAGGCTTATTTTTCATATTATCGAGACACACAAACGCCATAGGCCAAAGTTTTGAAAATGCGGGTACACAATCCAATCAAATGTCGTTCATCATGTCGTTCTATAATTAGAAGATACGACTGAGTTATTACGTACACATACGCATTTTAGCTGTTCTATATTTCTTGAAAAGAAAAAAAAAAAGTAAAACAACGTGAACAAATTCTTTCTTGTATATCCTCTCGAGAGACGTTCTTGTAAGTGTAACATTCTGGAAAGTTAAAGAAGAGCTTCGTTAAAGCGTGCAATGTCCAGTGCTAAGATGTATATATAGAAAGTGTTAATTCGTAATACTATTTTAATAGGGACAAAATTGACGAGTATAGCAACACAATAGAATTGTGCGAAATTGCGTAAAAAGTATGTCGCTACTTTTAGCTCATTATTGATGTGGATGAATTATTCTGCTATCGATATGCGCGTACGATTGTTACTATTAAGATCAGACCGACTCGTCAACAATTGTACGATCCATACATTACAATAGCACGATAATTGACGCTGTTATTGCGACCGCCTTTTATTTCGTCAACGGAAGGGTTGTTACATGCTGCAAACAGCTGAAATTAGTTGTACGATATTTTATTTGTCCTCTCATTAGCTATTCTTGTTATTGCACTATTGCTGTTGTTGTAATTATCATTACAATATCGATTATATTATTATTATTATTATCATAGTATCATCATTGCTATTATTATTATTTATATTGTTATCGACTAATTGCTCGGTTATAATTTAGCTTATTACGTTAATTATTAAAGTCTGTCTCTTTTTACTACTACAGGAAAAAATAGATTTACCAGTTTCTATTTTCAGTGCTTAGAATGCAGAACGTGGCAGAAAATTCTAAAGCACGGTTGCAGATTATTGTACAGATGCAAACACATACCGATGCCAAACATTATACATTATTAGCATTATTTTATGTAACATCATCGTCGTTGTCGTCATCATTGTCGTCAGTATCATCATCATCATCATCATTATTATTATTATTAATATCAACAACTTTTGTAGTGTTGCTACCATTACGACTAAACAGAGAAGATTACACGTTTTCCATATTAAAGTAACGTTGAGTTGACTTGTTATTTATCATTTATGTTTACAATTTCTTCTTACTATTATTTTTATTGTTCCATTGCATATACGGGCACGATCTCTATTGAGAAGTAAACTTTAATTGCAGCTTAACAATTTAGACTATCTTATGTTTCCAAATATATCGTATAATGCTTGTTTTGGGGATTATATGTTTTTAGATTAATTTTAGATTAAATTAAAAAAAAAGCAGAGCGCATACAATCACTTATTATTTAATTATAATTTTTTTCGAGGCTTGTTTTCAATCCTCTGAAATGTTTTTTCTACTTCAACACTTAAAATTGTGTTGTTACACTGTTTCAATCCTTTCAATTTATCTTAAAACCATGCTGAATGAAAACAACTTCATTTCGTTGTCATGAGATCCGTTCAGCCTGAAATTTATTATAAATTTTGTAAACGCTACAGTCACTTTCGTGCGTCCGTAATATCTGGAATTCATAATTTCGGCCTGTACCCGGTATACGTAATCATGCCGCACGTCCGGTCGCAGTCCGAGTTCGCGTTTCTAAAGAGAGATCTGTATGCAAGAGCGGGGGAGGAAGGGAGGAAAGGGAGCAGCGAATTGGCGCGCGAAAGCGAAAGAAGGGGGATGGAGAAAGCGCGAAAAGCGGGGTAGATTTGTGCGCGAATGTGAAAGGAGGGGGAGGAGAGGTCCAATGTAGGTACGCGGTCGAGAATTTAAGACGGATATGTTCATATCTCTCTCTCTGAACGTTCCGGGCGGCGCAACGCAAACCCTTTCATCCTCTTTAAAGAGACGCGCTCTCACGTCAATATTTCGGCTTTAACGGAAAGCCCCTCCGGCTGTCGTAGAATTTGTAGAGAGTGAGATATGGGCTTTGGAGCACCAGAGACTGTACCCTCTCGGTGTTTCTCCCCTTCGTCGAAACGATCTCCCCTTACTCTATCCTTCTCTTTCTTCTATCCATACACTACGTTTCACTTTACTCCTCTCAATTACTGGCCGCCATGCGTTTCCAACAAAGATAGGCGTTGTTTACTTCTCTTTTCCATTTTTCTTTATTGGCTCCTTCGTGATCGTAGCACTGATTACGCAGTTAAGATCAAATATATTTTTCCGATGAAAAACTCATGTGTCACTAGCTCATTGCATGTCACTAGCGGGTGTCAGAACGGTTCTCTGGATATATATATATATATAGGATGTCCCAGACTTTCTTTCGCAATTTTTGTGAGAACGTAGAACGTTATTAAATATAGAACGGATTGAATATAAATGTTTCATACTGTTTTGCGATATTTGCAATAAATCTTGAGATATTAATTAAAGAAGATTGGTGAATGATCACGCGCGACATAATAGTTGAGTTGTAGTGGCGCCGTTTGTCATATATTTATACATTAGATCAAACTAAACAAAAAAGTCCTCTACCATTCTGCAAATAACTTAGAAGGGCGAATGATATATATATATATATATATATATATATATATATATATATATATATATATATATA